GCCTATCCAAGAAGTCCTGGCTGACTTTTCCCAGTTACTGGGAACTTCTTAAGGGATAAGGTGGTTGTTCTTAACTAAATATGTACTGCGTTCCAAAATACAGTGCGCAGGCTGCTGCTCTCAGAGGAGTGAGCCAGCTCTTCTATGCAAAAGAGAGCGCGTCACATGGGAAAATGATGCAGACCCCAGGGCCTTGCCTCTGCTCCGCTTCTGACCAAGATGCAGGCAGACAGCGAGACCTGTGGCTGAGCCCAGCTGACAGACAGGTGAGGGGCAATCTTTTCTTTCCTCACTGACGTGGCTCTAGAGACAGCAGTACAGCATCCCCTACAGACTGCTCGTGCCACTGTCTCATTTCCCTAACAGTCATTTGGTATCGCCCATTAAACAGGTGCTTTATCGAGCACCGCACGCAAGCAGTGCTCTGTGCTGGGGTAGGCTCCTAACGGTAAACATCAGACTGGCGTTCCTTGTGCGAGCTCGAGCAGACTCGCTTTGCCTTCTCCTCCATGGACAAGGCAAATAATTTACCAGGATCTTCTCCATACAAGCTATTCAGATGACAGGCAGTAACTGTCACTTCTTAATCTTCTCTAGCATTGGATTTGCTAAATATATTTTAAAAACATTACATAAAAACAACACAAACCAATACAGAAACCCCACATGCTGATGCATGGATATGTGTCTCCAGAGGGAAAGGAAGCCTCATCTATATATATATATATTTTTTGCTTGAGGAAGCTTGTCCCTAAGCTAACATCTATGCCAATCTTCCTCTTTTTTTGCATGTGGGACGCTGCCACAGCATGGCTTGATGAACCATGTGTAGGTCCATACCTGGGATCTGAACCCATGAACCCCAGGCTGCCCAAGCAGAGTGAGTGAACCTAACCACTACACCACCAGGCTGCCTCATTTTTTTTGGGTGAGCAAGATTAGCTCTGAGCTAACATCCATGCCAGTCCTCCTCCACTTTGAATGCGGGATGCCTCCACAGCATGGCTGATGAGTGGAGTAGGCCTGCACCCAGGGTCTGAACCCGTGAACCTGGGCCACCTGAAGCAGAGTGCACAGAACTTTAATCACTGGGCCGGGGGGCAGCCCCTTCATCTGTATTTTCACCCCAGATGGAAGCGTTAAAACGTGTTATTCATTCTGTCAATGCTCACTAGCTCCTGTGATGCGCCACACTGGATTAAGCGCTGCAGGGCACCGGGGGGTGAAGGCGCTGGGGGCCGGTCTCCTGGGGACGAGGCGTCCTGCACAGGCCGCTGTGGGAGCGAGAGCAGTGGAGGTCGGAGCTCACCAGGGTCTGACACGCTGCGGACATTCCCAGGACCCTGCATCAGCCAGCCAGGACTATGCTCCTCTGCTTGCTGCTGAACTGTGTTTTTTTGCCTGACGGTAAGCTGTTGTTACTCGGATCAGATAAACCAGACCTAAAAGCAAACCGACACGCAAAGGAATGAAACCTGGCTCTTCGGAGTGCGGTGACAGAGTCCTGTGAAAGCAAATGATGATTCTTTTACGGGAAATGGTGAAAAAGAGCCTGATAGTGGGCTAATTCTCTAGTGCAGAACTTTGCCTTCTGCTACATTTTCGCTTCCTTTGGATCAGTAATAGTGTTATTTGGGGTCAAGGGTCCTTTTGAGGACCTGATTGAAACTATGGTCCCTCCAGCGGCAGGAGACAGTCTCAGGAGAGGGCTGCACATTCTCCATGTCTCAGGTCACACACCCTTCGCATGATTCCCAAACATGGAACTGACCCTGCCAGGCGTCAAAATGTGTCATAAAGCTGCAATAAATGAGTGTGATTCTGGTACAAGTATTCAATAGGAAAGAATAAAAGTGAAGAAAGTCCTAAAAGCATATCAAATCCATGGAAAAGTTGGGTTTTTATAATGGTATGGTGAAAAGTAACAAATTATGTGAAAAGAAATGTTAGACTTCTGCCTCAAACCACCCCCTGCCGAAAGGAATTCCAGCTGGTTAAACACTGACGTGTAAAAACTAAAACTGTTAAAGAATTAGAATAACAAAAATACAGGTGAATAGTTTCTTATCACTGAGTGGGAAAAACCTAAGCGGCAACACAAGGAAAAGAGTGACTTATGTGACCAAATGTATATTTTAAACTTTACAAACGCAAAACAATAACAAAAACACCACCTTCCTTCACAAAGGCCAACTTAAAAAAATGTTAATCTGACAAAAAGTCTTCAATCCACACATAAACCTTTACAAATCTGTACATAAGACGAAAGTACCAGATGAAAAATGAGCAAGAAGTATGAACACAATACTTGGCCTCAAAGCAAGAGCTCAGTAGATGTGTTGATCAGATGAATAAATTGATAAAGAGGCAACTCACAGAATATCAATGGCCCATAAACATAGGAAAAGTATGCAATCATAGGAATAATTTCATGAATGAATATAAAAGCAAAATAGCATTTTTGTTCATCAAACTGACCAAGATTAAAACAAAGCTCTGATAATGCCTGCATTGGTGAGGATGCTGGGACGTCAGAATCATACATTCCTAGGAGCGTCAACCCGTGCCTTCCTGAAGGGAGATTTGGCATTATGGATTGAGCACTTTAATATATGAGGTAGAATTTGCAAATTTGAAGCTTCTCCACCTTTCTATAATAATAAAAAACCACTCCTTTGAGTGTTTTTCTGGAAAATTCCTTTCCGAAAGTAAGTGTGAAAAGTCCACAGAGCAATGACAGGAAGTGCTTGTGGCACACGTCTTCTCTTTGATGGTGTAGGACCAGTAAAATGCCCTATATTCAAAATCTGTTTCTAAACTGGAAGATGCAACGGCTGCTTCTTTCTATCTCTTCTTCCTTCCCTTCCTTTCCTTTCTCTTCTCTTCCTCCTTCAGCGACATTGCTGGTGCTGCCTCATATCACTGTTTGTGGTACCTGCACCCTCCGCCAAGGCTCTACACCCCACCCTGGTGAACTCAGGAGGGCTCTGCTGTTCGCCTTAGTCAGCAAACTGACGGAGTGCAGTAGACCACAGCTGAGCAGTCCTGGTGGCTGGCTGACGGTTTGCCATGCTTTTTCCTTTGCCCTGAGACCAGCTAGGTTCCTGAGAGGCTGCTTGGTCAGGCTGAAGAGAGGTGGAGGAGAGTCGCGGCTAACTGGATGGATATGTAGCAAGAGCGAGAAATACACTTCCTTGTGCAGAACTTCAAGACAGAGATTGAGTTACTACAGTATATCCCAGGGTCATTATGAGAATTAAAGGATGTAAAAAAGACTGAATGAGTTACAGGGCTTAGACTAGTGCCTAGCAAATATCAAACACTGTATTAGTGTTTGTTAGATAAACCCGTGTGTGTGTGTGTGTGTGTGTGTGTGTGAACAGTCCAGGAAGTATGAAAAAAGCGTTAAAAGCGATTTTAAAATTTTCTTGTTCAGACACGTCTTCTAGTTTTTCTTCAATACACATGTATTTCTGGAATAATTAAAAAAATCTGTTCAACAACGCCTAACTACTTTGCACTGAGAGACTGTTTTTTAAAAATTGTAATTTAAAGAAATATATTGCTTTCTTTACTGTGATTTCATTTTATCACTTCCACAGGAACATATCTCTAATTTTATTATGAAAGTCAATAGAAAAACAAGTGTCAGTATGTGGAAGTCCTATTAATGGCAGTTTTCTTGAACGATGGAGTGGATAACACCTGTGGCCAAAATCTTGAGAATGGGACGAAATGTTTAATTACTGTTCCTCACCTGTTCTTTTGCATGCATGCTCTGAAAACGTTTTGACTTCGAATATGACTGACATTTGTCTCCCTCAATAAGATCAAGTTGTCTAGTCTTCAGTGATTATATCCCTGCTTCTCTGAGCCAGGCTTGAAGCCAGTGACAGATGAGCTCTGGTTTCTAACATCACCGCCTTGGAAGGCAGATCAGCGAGCAGCTGCTTTGCTTTTGACAGACAAGAGTATGGGTGAGACCAGGTCACTTGCTGGGATTGCTGTCATTGCAGCACTCTTCCTGCTGGCTGCATCCAAACCCTGTAGCTGCCCTGGTTGGGAATGAACCTTCGATTCACTCAGAAAAATCATGGTCCAAGAGTGATCATTAACACCCAATCTATGACCAGCCACCGCCAACACAGCTGGAGAGCTCCATGCCTGAGAACAGGATGGGCGAACAGTGGGGTCACTTTCTTTTTTATTCTCCCTACTTGTCATGCGGCTTTTTCGGGTGGAGTACTTTGCGTCACCCAGGAGGGGTGAGAAGACTCCCTCAGGAGGCAGGTCTAAGAACAGAGGGGATAACGAGACTGGTGAGCAGGTGGAGTAAGAGGAGGCTACTCTGAGCAGTGCGAACAGCATGTAAAAAGCTCAAGGTAATGGCATCAGAACTATCAAATAATAACAAATAAAACCTCTACACTGAAAATTACAAGATATTGCTGAGAGTAATTAGAGAAGACCTAAATAGCTGAGAATATTATGTTCATGGATTTTAAGACTCAACATTGTTTATATGTTCATTTTCTCCAAATTGATGTAAAGATTCCAAGCTTTACCAAAAATCCCAGCAGGCTTTTTTTTTTTTTTTTTTTAAAGAAATTGATAATCCAATTAAAAAATTTATAGGGAAATACAATGGATCTAGCAGAGTCAAAACAAACTGGAAAATGAAAAATGAAATTGGAAGACAAACTACCTAATTTCAAGACTTACTATAAAAGCAACAGTAACTAAACAAATACATTAATGGAATAAACCAGAGAATTCAGAAATAGACTCATCCATATGCATCAAGTGATTTTCAGCTGAGGTGCCAAGTCAATTCAATGAGAAGAAAGGTTTTTAAATAAATGGTGCCCAAATGACTGTATATTCTCAAAACCTACTTAGCCCTATTTGTGAATATGGATTTCAGGTGGATTGCAGACCTAAACGTAAAAAGCTAGAACTGTAAGTTTCTATAAGAAAACATGGAAAGAATCTTCATAACCTTAGGGTAGGTAAGGCTTTATTAGAGAGGACACAGAAAATATTAACCATAAAAGAAAGAAAAGACAAATTAGCCTTTGTGAAAATTAAGACATTCATTATGAAAATGAGTAGGTAAGCCACAGACTGTGAAAAAGATTCTCTCTCTATATATCTGACAAAGGGCTCATATCCAGAATATACAAAGAACTCTTATAAATCAATAATAAAAAGTCCAAATGACCTAATTTTAAAAACGCACAAAAGACTTGAAAAGACACTTTATAAATCATACTTAACGTCAATAGTCATCAGAGAAATAAAAATTAAAACCACAATGAGATGCCATTTCACATCCACCAGAATGGTTAAAATAAAAATATCAACTGACAATATCAAATAGCGAGGGTGTGGAGAAGTGGAACTTTCACACGTTGCTGGTGGGAATATTAAATGGTACAACCACTTTATTGTTTGGCAACTGACATTCATTTAGCCAATGACCCAGCAATTCTACTACTAGGTATTTATCTAAGAGAAATGAACACACGTGTCTACAAAAAGACTTGTACAAGCATATTCATAGGCCTTATTTGTAATATCCTCAAAGTGGAAACAACCCAAATACATACCAACAGGAGAAGGGATAAACACCTTCTGATCTATTTATATAATGGAATACTTCCTAGGAATAAGAAGAAACTATTGATACACATAACAATGTGGATATTTCTTAAAAAATACTACGTTGAACAAAAGATGCCAGACACAAAGGCTACATACTAAATGATGTCATTTATATGAAGGAAAAAAATAGGCAAAGCAATGTAGGGTGATAGAAATCAGAGAGTGGTTGCCTTTGGGATGGGGGAGACTGGACAGAAAGGGACAGCCTGATGGAAATATTCTATTTCTTATTCCTGGTGGTGGTTGCATGGGTGTAAACAGTTAGCAAAACTTCTCAAACTGAACACTTAAAATCTGTTATTTTACTGTCTATAACTCATACCTCAATTAGACCAAAAAGAACCAGGAAAGAGGAGCACGGTGTGTTTATAGGTGCAGATGACTAAAACACTCAGGGCTGGGGGTTCATTCTTTACTTAACCCCCCTACCCTCCCTAAGTTATTCCTGTAATTTAATCCACAGTGATGAAAGAGTTATTTATTAAAGACCTTTATCCTCATGACAAGTGTCAGATAGGGGTTGAAAACATCAAAATCGATGAAACACATCTTATCTCAAGTGGAATGGCCTAGGACATGTAAAAGTTAAACACTTAGCAGCATGTGAGAAGGGACACGCCCTCCATCTTTAAACACTGGCTGGTGGGAGCCGGCGAACGTCGGCAGGGAGGAGCATTCAAATCAGGTTCCAAATCCTGTGCTCCTCCCACATCCAATGGGTACTCGTAAGATTTACCAAAATAAAAAAAAAAAGACTGATGTCTGAACAACAAATTCTGTGACCACACCTTCTATTATGATATAAAGAACTTAACTCATTCATTAATCTTTCTCTTCTAGATGATTCACCTCCACAGGCAAGGCACTGTGTCTCTTGCAATTCATTTTTGTATCCTTAGAAGAATCTACGCCAAGGTCTTGAAAATAATGGATCCTCCATCATTATTTATATGCTTAGGTTAATTAATCAATGTATTTACTGATTAGTTAGAATTTATGTCCAAATTACATGTTCCCATAACGGGAAATTTACTTCAATTATTTTATAATGTCTTCAATATAAAATGTTTGAACCAGCAGTGATCTCATTTGGTAATCCATGGGAAATACATTTAAAAGGAGTGTAAGGAATGATATGCAAGTCCATCTCACCCCAGCTGAAAAATTTAACTATCCTGTAATTACCTGACTAGATTTTTAAAAAAACTACAGAAAAAGTACAATTGTTAAAAGTATAAAAAACAAACAACCCCACTGAGTCTAGCTTTGTCTCCATTTGGGTATCTAATGATCACAGAGGTTGCAGGCACACTGTTTTGAACGGGACGCCACACTGGCCCGATCAGAGAAGCTGTTACCCCAGTGACGGAGCTCCACTGTGAGCGTTACTCCGCAGGCGGCTGCGACTCCGGGGACTCTGCACACCCAGCGGCCCTTTCATCGCGCACTCTAAGAGCATCCGTGACGCTGTGCAGGCAGCCTCTCTTCCGAGATCTCCCCGCGGCTTTCCTTCCCGCGCGAACAGGTTCAAGACGGCGAGTGCTGTTTCCTCGCTCCGCCAAGAGCCTCCTGATGCCGCGGGGCTTTCATCACCACGTCGGCGGCAGGACACCACACGCGACCGCTTCTAAATGGGGACCCCCACAATCATGTTGTTTTTGGGAGAGCAGCTCTCCGGCTCCATGGATATCACCTGAACGGAGTAGCCACGCTCCTCTGCAGCTCTCGCTCGATCCAGGTCCACCAGGCACATGCACTGCTTTCCTGAAACACAGGAGGGGGACCGGTGGTTCATCGGCGGGGGCGAGGACGCGCAGAACGCTGTCTGCCCCAAGGCCTGTCCACTCTCTGTTTAATTCTGGATCAGTGAGCAGAGAAGAGGACTACAGATAGGTGACATTTCACAGATATGTTTCTACTACTAATTTAAAGAACATTAACCTTTTAAATGTATTTATAAATAAATCTCGAATAAACACTACATTTTCTATTTTCCACTTTGGTTAAAAATCCATTTAAAGACCTTTTCTTTTCATGCCCTATGAAAATGAAACATTATCTATAATATGGTAAAAACAGTCTGTCTTGAGGAATATCTCAAATAACACGCAAACAAGGGGACACCTGAGAGAGGCGTTACATCTGCACTGGAGTTTTCAGGACATTAAAGAAATGAGGAATGGAAAATATTTGAGAAAATCCTCAATTGTGTGCTGATCATTTCAAGCAGATGTGTATGTTGAGTGTAACATAATTTGAATTTTCAGAGCTGCTGCACCCCTATGAAATACCGGTTTTCAATTGTCTTTGTGATCTTTGGAAAACAAAAGAGGAAGCCTGACTGGCAAGCAGGGCAGGTAATTTGTGTTCCTTTGGCGAACACAAACTTCTGTTTCAGCAGCAGCTCGGGGAAAAAATGATTTGGGGTTGAATATAGTCAAAGCTATGGGTTACCTTTACACTTTCAATTTCTTTAAATTCAATATATGGACCTCTTCATCCTCTTGGAAAAAGGTTACTGACTATGCAGAACTTCATTCATTCCATACTTTCCTCAGTAATTATAATAATGCCGAAACATTATTTTTAAATTATTTACTTGAATGACAGCAGAAACTGCTAAACTAACACAGCTTCAGAAGTGAAGACAGCATAGTCCTCACAGAAAACCAGTGGAAGGTGAAACCAGTCGGTAAGAACTGGCAAGGAAATTCAGATTTAAAATATTTTATACATTTTCCTTAAAAGGTCTCATGACAAAAAGGATAAAATGCGTTAGAAATGACATAAAAAGAGACGTCTAGAATCCCATGTAGGCTAAATCACCCCTCTTCATCAACAGCCCTATGGCTGACATTCTTTTTTTTCCTTAAAATGTTGTTCTTCCTTTAAAACATCTGTAAATCCCCCCGTCTACTTTTCAATTTAAATGAAACATTCTCTGTCAGAACAGGATGCTCTACATTCATCAGCACCACCCGGATGTACACTGCAGCTCATTTGCTCTTGGCGTTGATCCCAGTCAAGTTTCCCTTTTCCATGATACAGAAGAATCTCATGTTTTTACATGTTGAAGAAGTGTCTTTATAACTGAAATTCAGTTGTTGGCAGTCCACGTTTTGGGGCTTGGAAGCTCCCTAAATGTTCACAGACAAAAGTGCCCTGTGCACGTACAGATGCAGACATGTGATGGGGTCTGTGACTTTGAACTGACCTTCCCTCTCTTCCTGAAGTGACCATGCCAAATGCTGCTCCTCCTCCTCAACTCTGGCTGCTTCCCGTCCAGCCACTCCCTTCTGGTTTGATGCCCAAAACATCAACCATGTGCACGCCATCCACCACCCCAATTATGTCTTCACTGCGTCTAATGGAGTTATAGCAAACGTAATTTGATAACCAAATGTAGTTTATGCCTTAATATACATTCACTGTACATTCCAACGTACATTTGACTAACTCCAAGTTGGGAACTGGAACAGGAGGAGGAAGAGGGAAAGAGAGAGAGGTTGCATGCAGGAAAGAGCAAGCTTTTTCATGCCCCAGAGTGTGAAAAGGGAAGGAAATCACTTGTGCCTTCAGCCTCAGGTCTCAAATGCCTCTCCAACTGTGGGTATCCTGTGATGCCGACTTTGATTTTAGAGTTAAAAGATAACTATTTCTCATGCAACATGGTCCCTGAGTGCAAGCTATTTACTACATCTGCTGTCCTGCCCAAGAAACAGCAATCTGATCCAGTACACCATGGTGGTCTCAATGTGTGGCTTTCCTAAATAATTTTAAAGATTAGTTTTGACTCCACTCAATCATCTTAAGCCCTAATTTGGAACCTAACCTCCCAGTGATGTGACTTCATCATGGAGGGCATCGCAAAAGCAGATCAGTGCTTCACATCTGAGATCAAATAACTTGGGTTCATAGTGCAGCTCCAGCACCCACCAGCTGAAGGATCCTGGGCAAGCTTTTGTCCCAATTCTCTCACGTGGAAAATGTCAATAATAGCACATGCCCATATGTATTTTATGAGAATTTACTGAGAGAATAGGTGGAGGGCATTTAGCTCAGTGCTTAAATGTGCAATAGCCATTAGCTGCTATTATCCTTCTAAATGTGATTTCCTTTTCCAAAGCAAAGTCTTGGATAAATTCATTACTTTACCTTGAAATGCTGTTGTAGGCCTTCTAATTTAGGTAATGTTTAATATTACAAATGTCAAATAAATTGGTCTATGATTAATAATATACAACTATATTTTTTTCCGAGAAAGAAAATATTATCATCCTTATCAATTTTTTAATGCATCAATTTTGGCATGCGTAGTTGATTTTTCCATCTTTATTACTTTTTTTCCACGGTTTTTTGATAGATCCTTCAGTTTGTTTACAACAGTAAGAAAGAGATTTAACATAATTCTACTCAACGTACAATCACTGAAAATGTATTTAAAAGTACTAACATGAGAATTGAATAAAATGTTACAGTTACAAAGCACTTTTCACTATGGATTAAGTTTTCTGGGAAGAACAAGCTTCACTTTCCTGTTGACAAGCGGAACAGTTTTTCCCACACAGAGTCGGTGCCATCATTCCTAGGCACCCTGTATGTGATCTGATCAACAGCTGCTCCGGGAAAACACATACCTATGAGCCTTCGTTGGGGTGGAAGCTGGACAGCTGTTTGATCTGCAAATCTGCACAGAATCATGTGTTCCTAAAAGAAAAAGCAATAGAATGTGGGTTTATTTAATCTTCTGCTTCAAAATTGTAAAAGTAACACAAACGACTTCATTTTTCTGGAGTTCTACATTGTTTTATTGAACAAAGTGCTGCACAAATAGTACTTCTGGAAGCAGCAGACTTCCAGGCAATGGTTCTCAGGAACATTTTTCCCTTCAAGCGGACTGCTTGTCAGCTGCAGTTCTTAAGAGCAGATGCATGGTGGACCCTCATGGCCATGAACCAGTTGCTTTTAGCAGAAATGTGGCTATGATTTGTGATTATAATATGTTAAAGTAAAAGGCCTAAAATTCACTTATATTTTTCCTTTAATAAAACTTGGATCTCAGGAACATGGCTCCAAGAAGACATTCTCAGTGGCTTTCCTCCCACTACTGGAGCAAAGGGAAGGGCTGTAGGACATCAGTCTGTGGCGTCTGCTCTCTAGGAACGCAGCACAGTGCTGGCGGCTCCTTTGCTGGTCCTGACTCTCACTTCGCTCAGCCCCTTTAGAAAGGAGCTGGCTCTCTCCCTCTGCCCTCACTCCAAAAGGATGCAAGAGATGTACCTATTTCTGCTTTAAGACAAACCATAAAGAGGACCTGAGAGAATCGGGGGAAGGTTATTGCTTCTGCTTAACAATTTTAGGAAAGACTGAATTAATGAAAGAAGCATAGGCTTTAAAGGGACAGAGCTGATGGGTCTGCCTGGCACTCTCGAGTGATGGTGGGGTGAAGCGGGGGTGCCTGCAAGGCCCCCGGGCCAGCTGTTCACCCCGACAGCTGCGGTCTCCAGCGAGCGCACCATCTCACCTGTCAGCTTAGCAAAGGGGCTGAATTCAGACTCCCCACTTGTCCCTTGTCTTCTGTACACTCAATTTGAGCCTCTATTTGTTAATAAGGTAACTGAAGTAATTGAAGTGATTGTGTGAGGCTGGTTCTTTTTGAAGGGTTACCATTGTCTCAACTTTTATGCGTTTTAGAAAAAGCACTTTGAGGCTCACTATAAAATTTAGTGGCAATGGGGAGGATACTAATAAACTAGTGCAAATGAATAGCTTTTATTAAGCTCTGTGAACTGGCATCCACAAAGGGGCAGAAGAAGAATTTAGAACTATATAATTTGAAGAAAAGGGAAGCAGCAGCATGCCCTTCGTCCTCAGGGTGTTTGAACATTAAGAGTCACTTTAAGTAAGGCCATGTCAGGAAGCACGACCTCAGGCCAGGGTCATTCCTCTGTCTGCTAGGTCTCACCCTATCCATTGCTATCACTCGTGTGGGTGTCCACCCAGTAGGAGTTAAGTTCTGAAAGGGGAGGGCACACAGTGGGTACTCAGGAAAGGTCTGCTGCTGGATTGAACTGTGTAGAAAAATGCTTCCAAAGACCCTCCAGATATTTGGGCACTGAGTCCATGAGGTCCTGCCTGCCAGGCCCCCGCCGTGGTTAAGGAATATGAGACACCATCCTTAACCATCCCCAAGAGGTTAAATAAGACTTCTCCACAGAGCGTTCACACCTGAGACTCTTGAAAGGGCTGGTGGCCGTGGACGGAAGAGGAGGCAAGGATGAACTGGGGTGCCGGGGGTTCCTGCTCTCTGGAAGAGCCGCCTCTTCTGACTCTAAAATTTTGCATTCTTCCCCAGCCAGTGAGGCTGCGGCACCCTCCCTCCTCACGGCGTTTCCTTGTTCTGAGAGTTTGCTTTATCCAGCATCACTCAAGGCGGGGTTAAAAACAAGGGTCTAGTTTTTGTTTTTGCTTATTTTTCAATTCATTTTCTACTTTATTGGCAGGGCCTTGTGAGAGAAAGGTGAGGTATTTTGAATCGTATGAAAATAAAGTTCCTGGGGTCCTAATGTTTCCCCAAAAACTTTATAGTTCCCTAGGATATGAAAACTTTAAATCCAGCAGGCAAAGATGAGAACGGCTCTGGATGAAGCATGAACACTGAGGTTTCTCTCCTCTCCATGGGCGTCTGTGCTTGGAAGGGTGAGGACAGGTGAGGGTGGGAGACAACTGGAGGTGGGCGTGTAACAGTTATAAAGGAGAGGTAAAGGGGACAGAGGTGCCAAGGTGGCAGAAATGGACATTTCTAGGCCACTGTCCCTCACTATTTCATGTTGGAAGGAAAAGACGGTAAAACTCCCAGAAGCTGGGGCTGGTGTATAGAACGAGACTCCATTTTTAGAGAGCCTGTGTGGAATGAACTGCACTGAGAATCCAAACTAATTTATCAGCTTTAATGGCACTGCCTGTGCCTTTCTCTCAAAGAGGACCATCTCTTAGACTGCACTGTGTCACGTTACCGATCAGTGGGTTAGCAGCGATGTGCAGAAAGCTGGAAACCGCCTTGCTCAGGTTGGTGACGAACGCTGTGCAAGTTCTGACTCCTGTTGGGAGACGATTCTCTGCAGGTCTCGTGTTTCTTTGAGTCTTGCGAACAGAGGCACTGCCCTTGTTCCAGACTAGGGGTTGGCAAACTATGGCCCGCAGGCCAAATCCAGCCTCTGGTCTGTGTTAGTATGGCTCGAAAGTTAAGAAAGTTTTTTACGTTTTTGAAGGCTTGAAAACCAACAACAACGACAAGGACAGTGTAGAAGACGTGCGGGATTTGTAAGCTGCCAGCACAGCCTAAAATGCGTACTACCTTCCTTTGACAGAAAAAGTCACCTCTGTTCCGATGACCTTTTCAAAGGCGTTTGCAGAGTCAACGGCCTTGGAAGCTACATGCAGTCTCCCTCTGGAGCAAGGGCAGGCGCGCGTACTTAAAGACGAAATCTAAACATCTGGGTTTCCTGAGCTCAGGTCCCCTCTCCTGCAATGCCACTCACAGTGTATGTAGCGTCACCTGCCCTTTTGTGCTGCCTCTGGGAACCAGGCCTCAGGGAGTCAGTGCCAAAATGATGGTCTGGCTACTCCTCCTGTGCCAGCAGCTGTCTTTGTCTCTGACTCAGGGGCCATTCATCTTCTGCAGGCATCCATGGAACTGTGGCAGGCTGTCACTTGCAATAGGGTGGATCTCAGACCCTTCTCAAATCCTGTCAACCACTTGAAGATTAATATTTATTTGGCAAAAAAATCCATAATAGATGTTCATGAGTGATTCAATTATTAACTATCAGTTATATACTCCATTGGAAAAAGTCTAGTAGGAAGACATCTAGATCTTTTTAAGGTTACCTTATATGACAAAGTTTTCTTGAACTGCTCACTGAAATAGAAAAGAAAAAGGAATTAGTCATCATTTTAAATATTAAAGATTAAGGGCAGAAATAGTCTTGAAGAAACTAAATTGTAAAAGATATGTATTTTATCTAAAGAGCATATAACGTTATTCTGAACTAGAAACTGTGCCAGTTTGAAACGTCTTTATAAAAAGACAAAAGCATACTGTCAGTACGTCATTAGTTTTCAAGAATTTCTTTCAAATCTTGTTCACACTATTAGAGAAGCACAGCATTATTTTTTCTTCCTGGCTTGGGCACACAGACTCAGGCACTTTAAGACGCAGGGTTTATTGTTTTGCAGGTGTAGTGAGGCCAAGAGGTCAGGAGACGGCTGCCGTTGAAAAGATGGCTTGTCCCTCACAGCTCCCAAGATGGGGTGTGCCCCACCACACAGGGGCGTGTGGGGAAGCACCAGTGGTCAGAAGGCCGAGGGAGTGGGGGATGCGGGTAGGAGCCTTTATGATAGGTTCCGTGGGAAGGTAAGGCAAGGCAAGGAGAGCAAGCTCAGGACTGGTCAGTTTAAATGTCAGCGGGCTCTGGGGTACAAGGGCTGCCCGAGTTGCCTGGCACCTGGCCCTGGGGTGATTTGGGCAGGGGATGGTGACCAGGAGTGGTCCTCCAATGACAAAGGGGGCATACGCCAGTAATCTACAGAGATGTAAGAAAGCTGACTGACATTAAACTGAGACTTTAAAATCAGTTATGTGAGACTGCAGTTGAACTCACATTAGCATTCTTAAGAATCTTTATAGTGCTAGACTTACAGATTTCTCGATGGGTTGTAAAATATACATTTTATCCGTGTGAATTTGGAATAAAATGAAATTTCAACTATTGACTAAGCCTCAGATTACATTTTATTTTTTGCTTTTCCATAGTTCCTTTGGTTTTCTCTCAACTAGTTGCAAATTGTAGTAAAGAACAAAACAATGAAAGACAAAGAATAAGAAGGCTATTATTTGCACTTTATTTTAAATTAGCTAGGAGCTTTTAAGCATAAATTCTAATAGAAATTTCCTAAGATTACAGTGATCAGCATGAGTGTCAACAACTAGGAACCAGAGTGAAGCATCACCCAGGCCGGGAGACGCCCTCCAGCAGGCGAGCTAAGGGTGAGAAGGAGGTCTCCCTCTTGCTCGGGAGCTCAGATTAAACACCACCACCCACGGGCAGAGGTTAAAAACACCAGTGCTCCTACTGTAACTAGCAACAGCTCACAGTTGTTGAGTCCTTTACACACATCACTCACTTCTCACGAAAACCTAGAGGCAGTTGCTATTATTATCCCCGTTTTGTAGATTAGAACATGTTGGCAGAAAGAGTTTAAGTAGATTGCCTGAGGTGAAATAACTTATAAAAGAAGGAGAAGCCAACGTTGGCCCCCAGGCGGGATACGTCCAGGCCCTAAGCTCTAACTCCTACACCTCCTGCCTTTCGGAGGTGAGGACTTCCATTTAGAAGTCCACAGAGAAGGGCTGAGGTTGTCAGATGACTCCTAGATAGACTTGCTTCTAAGTTTCAAGCAAGAGCTGGATCCAGGGGAAACATTCAGGGCAGACATAGAGGAGATCCTCTCTTCCATATGTAAGTTATAAACAACACTTGCCATTGTGCAAAGAGGAAATGAGCTCAAAACCGAGATCTCATTGCCACTTCACATTAAACGAGTTTTGTGTGTTGATGTAATCCCCATACCGGTACCTTAGGTAGAAGACTAAATTTCACCTTTTTGGAAAGCTAAATTTTGAGGTGTTCTGGACGAAACCGTAACAGCAAGGGCATGTGACGAAGGAAGCCCGGGTTTTGATGCAGTGCTCAATCACCATGTCCGTTGCCACTCCGCAAGCATGCAATGCTACCTGCAAAACAAAACCGGCACTCAGCACCGCATTCTTTCTCAACTGACAGCACCACTTAGCCGCCTTTCTCTTTTCACTTTCTGCGAGGACTGATCCTCAGGAGATTTCAAGTCACCAGAAGAGTATTCCACATAGTTTCAATGGTTCTTTTTTGGACGCACCAAAGGACTAGTTAGCTATTTATATTAATTAAGAAAATTAAGCAAGGTTGAAAGATTACAAATGGAACAGTGCAAACGAAGCAATGGAATTCAATGGAAAATCTGACATGATGTTAAATATGGAAAATTAAGATGTATATGTCTAAACAAGTGCTCTTGTTGCTTATAAATTTAGTCCAGTTGTAGCACGTGGCAAGAACATGAGACTGAAATCATAATTTCTGGTCTAAAACTCTAGTTGGCTGTGGGATCTGGGGCCACTTAAAATTTAACTTCTTTGGGCCTCAGCCTCCTCAGCTATAAACCAGGTGAACAATACTGACATATCACAACACTGTTGCAACGATTAAATACAAATGTCTTTGACAACACATTTTCAAATGCTGCATGAATATAATGTAATCAGTGTTGTAGAAAACTGATCAAATTATATTTATGTAGCACCTTTTCATATTTATAAAATAACAGTTCTTAACATTACATGACAAATGCATGAACTACTTTCAATGGGTTTATTTATAAAGGAAGGATATGAGTTGGAGTCATGACAAGGGCTTCAATTATTCATGAAAAGAAAAATAGCTCTAAAAATGATTTTAAAATGTTTTCAAAACAAATTCCTTAATTATATCTATACTGTATTACAACCTAAAGTAGACAATTGTGAAAATTATTAGGCTGAATAAAGCAAAATAGGACGCTATGAAAGAAAATCAGATGTGGGGCTCTTGAAAGATGAAACATTTTGTCAGAAAACACTCCCTTTTTCTTCATTTTGTTCTGCACAGCCGCAGGCTGTATTGAGTTGCAACCGCCCTTTCTGGGGACAGGTCCTCAACTTGAGGGAAGGGAGAGGCTTTCTGGGTGAAGAGAAGGAGATTTTCTGGAAATTTCTGGATGTGAAAAAACAAAGGTGTATTGGGAAGAGGAGAGCAAGATCTCTGCTCTCAACCCTCCTCCTGGATTCCCCCCTCCTTCCACACTTACATCACCTCCACAGAGGTCAATAAGCCCTACGGTTGATTTGCAACCTACAGCATAAACAAAGGGTTAATATCCCTATTATATAACAAGCTCCTAAAAATAAAGAAAAAGCCCAATAATCTAATAGTAAAATGGGCAAGAAATTTGGGCAATTCACAAACAAAACTATGCAAATAAGCCTTAAACCAAGTTGTTCAATACTGCTCAAAATAAGAGAAATAAGTATTTAAACTCCATTAAGATACTACTTGTCACCTATTAGAGTGGCAAACATCCTAACATTTGGTGGCAGTCTGTGGGCTGGGCTGTGGGGATGCAGACACTGTCATGTGTTGCTGGTGGGAACAGAAACATCATGACCCTGAGGAGGAGGAATTCAGCAATATCCAGCAAAATTATGCGTGATTTGTGACCTCACTTCTAAAAATTTCTTCAAGGGATACATTGGCAAAAATATAAAAAGATTTATGAGGCAATATGTGAAATAGCCACCAAATGGAAACAGGCCAACTTGCCACTGACAGAGGAAACAAACACAGCGGAGGAATAAACAGGGGAGCACTCTGCAGCTCTTAAAAGGAATGGGGACTCTCTCTACACATGACCATGGGAGATATTATTAAATGAAACATAATGCCAAAAAATTCTCAACCTATTTTCAGTAATCATTGTTGGGGTTGTGTCTTTAGGGCTCTAATGGGCATACTGTGAGATAAAACAAGAAATACGCTACTGTCATCAGGAAACAGATTTTTTTTTAGCATAGGAGAAAGAAGAGAGAGAGAGATGAGATAGATGAGTGAGGATAAGTTAAAATCCCATAGTCCCAAATTTAAATTGGAAGTATCAGGATGAACCCATGATGATTTTGTTAAAAAGAAAGTACTGCCTAGCTCAGAGCACTGAAAAGCCTAGAAGCAAAGACTGACCCAGTAGCGACGACCATCCCGAGTACCCAGACTGTGGTAATCTAAAGAGCATTTTCCTTTAAAAGAGTTAGAGCTCCATGGAGAAACAGCTGATGCCAGACTCGAGGCAGGAAAGGCACAGATGAGCTGGACATCTTGTTACAATGAAAGCACGGACGCCATCAACTACTACTGAAGCTGCCTCAGAAAGACTCAGGAGTCAAGCTGGAGAGGTTCCCACCTGACAGAGATGGGACTATCTGAGCATCAGTAAGAATAATAACTGCAATGGATTGAAGTATTTCAAAGAGTAAGCTGATGAGTCAATAATCATATTGAAAAAACCTAACTGGTCACTTTTGGTAGAAAATCAACTCACTTTGAAAACTGGAAAATATAGGACAAGAACCAAGTTTTATGCGGCCCTTCCTATGTGACCTGACCCTCAGAATAACCAAGCAGTTGACAGAGGAAAGTAAATGAAGCCAGAATGATACAATTAGAAGAATACCATCATTTTGCAATCCCTATTGAAATAAGGGAGCTGAGGCAATGATCACAAATGCAGCCAACATCACATGAGAGATGGCCAGACATGGCGCCTGCTGCTGGAGCACACCACCCCCACGATGCAGTTACCCCAAAGTGAGCCTGATGGGAGTGTGCCTCTACAGTCTTGATCTAACTACCAATTTCTGGGCAATATGGGGAAAATGGTGACACCTGGAACAACACTGGGGGGTGCAATCAACAAAATTCACAGTCTGGGAAAGTCGGAAGGAGAAATGACATGGTGACGTAGACAAACTGCAAGGAACAAAAGAGGCAGGGAGGGTGTGGTCACACAACGATCCCCTAAGGACGTCCACGTCCTAATCCCTGGAACCTGTCAGCATGGCGAAAAGGATTCCTGCAGCTGTGACTGAGGTTAGGGACCTGAGAATAGCACCATTATTCTGGATTCATAGTGGGCTCAATCTAATCACTCGAGGCCTTAAAAGTAGAGGACTTTCTCAGGCGGGAGGAGAAGGGACAGAGGAGAAGTCAAAGAGGTCTGGAGCATGAGGAGGACGTGACCCACCACTGCTACCTTCATGGTGAAGGAGGCCGTGGGCTGGGAAACGTGGGTCCCTCTGGAAGCTGAGCCAGCAAGGGAGCAAGAAGCGCAGCCCCACAGCCACAGTGAACTGAACGCTAACACAGCCTCAATGACCTTGGAAGTGGATCTCTCCCTCCAGGTGAGAGCCACGCCAAGCCGACACCTCATTTTCACCTAATGATGCCTGCAACAGAGACCAGTTGAGTCCACCCAGAATTCTGGTGGCAAAACACATGTAACATCCGATTTTCCATCTCCCCCACTTTCAAGTGTGTCGTTCAGTAGCATTAAGTCAGCTTGCTGCCAAGCCCACCTCCAGAACTTCTTCATTTTGCAAAACGGAAACTCTGCACCCACTGAACAACTCCCCTTTTCTCCCCACCCCAGGCCCTGGTAACCACCACTGTACTTTCTGTCTCTGTGCCTGTGACTACCTTTGATACCTCAAATAAGTGGAATCACACAGTACTTGTCTTTTTGTGACTGGCTTGTTTTACTTAGCAGAAGACCCTCAAGATTCATCCATGTTGTAGCATGTGATAGGACCTCCTACCTTATTAAGGCTGAATAATATTCCACTGTATGGATGGACCACATTTTGTTTAGCCATTCACCCATTAATGGACATTTGGGTTGTTTCCCCTTCTTGACAATTGTGAATGTGGGTGTGCAAATATCTAAGTAGGTACTATTTTAAGATGAGGAATTGAGGCCCAGAGAGGTTGTTCCAGGTCATATAACAAATTAAGGACCCCAACTCAGACAGTTTGGAGCCTCTATCCTAGAGAACTACTCTTTACAAATACACTCCCTCTCATTTTCTTCACCTCCTTGGTCCTACTATCTTCTGAAATTACACCACCACAGGGAACTAGCACGTATTCAGTATCTGCTAGACGTCAAAATCTTTACAAAGATTGTTAAAAATTTTATCACATTTCTTTTTCTTAATTTAATACTTTCAGTAGCTCTTATTATCTCTATTTGCACTAGCATGTCCAAAGTCACCTAGCCACAAGTGTTCCAGATGAACTCTGAATCCAAGTCTGACTCCAAAGCTCACACATCTTTCCATCATATCATGCCCTGCCTCCCCAACCAGCCTCTTTGGAACTGGAAGGAACCTTAGAGATCATGTTTTTTTAACGAAGAATTTTTAGATATCACTATTAGGTTCACCACTGACTTATGAGAAAAAGGAATGGAATACATGCTAGTCACACACAGAGGAAGTGACAAAGGAAGGAAGGGACAAAGATAATTACATCCACTTGTTATTTTTCTTAAACCACTGCTATCCACAGTAACTTGTATGAAATCTAATTTCTAATTACATTTCAAGCACCTGACCCAGAGAGTTTGTAATACATTACACACAGGATAGACAGATTTATTAATGTAATACACAGTGGACAGATTTGATAACTGCAGAAAGAGCATCAAACATAAACTATGAGAATCTAACAAAGGCTAACATTCTGGGGGAAACACATGTAATCAGTGTTTAGCTGACATCATAGCAAACAAGTGTTTCACTGACCCAAAGAATTCAGAATGCGGTTCTCAAATAATGAGTCTTATCTATCCCTTTCTCTGTATATGCACTGAATCTAATAAAAGATAACAACTGAAGTTGTAAACTTATCCACTGCCCAAGGTAATGCATATTCCAAAGTAAATGTAAATATTATGTGTCCAGAAATATGCTGGAGAATTCGTGGACTATAAATTAAGGGCCTTTCTCCTACATTTTCTTGCCTCGATTAATCCATACATCATAAAAGTTCTACGTACAATACTTATCCTATCACATAGTCACCAAAATAAAACTGAACACCCAAGAAACCT